TAAGATGGGTTGAAATTAAAAAATCCTAAATTAAAAACGAAAAGCGATATCAACACGAAATTTTTAGTAAAAATTAAGCTTTATAAGAAGATAAAGCCTATTGATACTGAAAAAAATATGAATATATGGGGGAATTAAGGGGGGTTAAAATATAAAAAAAAATCCTAACTGAAAAATGATATAAACTTGAAATGTTTAGCAAACATCAATCTCTAAAAGCAGATGAGGCCTATTGATTGTGAAAACAATCTGGTTGAAAATGGGGGTTAAGGGGGTCTGTTAAAGTACGAAGAGTATCCTCTAGAATGCCAGGCATTATATATCTTTATTCTAAATTGTGTCTGTGTAATATGTATTGTGATGGGACCGGATGGGACTGATCTTATAAAATAAACATTTAAAACATTTTAGTTCTTATTTTATTTGCCAATAAAAGGTATTTAAAAAATATATTTTTTATTTGACATCTGTGACAAATTGTGAAAATGATTAAACTTACAATAAAAACTAAAAAATGGTAGGTAAAGTTTCATATAAAATTTTTTACACAAAAATCAATGTAAAGTTTCTACATTACCTGATATATATTTAAAAATAATCTCAAATTATAAGGAAAAGTCGGTTTACTAACTAATATTGTTAAGATTGTTTTCAACGTATTAAAAAAAAAACAAATATTACACTAACTAAAATTATCATTTATTAATAGTTGTAATGCTTGAAAATAGTATGATGTTGATAATAATAATTACACTTAATACAAACTCAGATAATAAAAAAACAGTGATATTGACTCTTGTACAAGGTTTTGATCCGAACTTACAAATGATAAAATTATTGGAAAAAGTGAACACCCATTTCAAATTACCACAAGTCGCCACTGCTGAAACCATATATATATAACTTCTAGGATTTCTTTAAGATTTTTAAACCATCTATATATAGCAAGGCTACAAGGAAAAAGGAAAAATATAGAGAAGGGAGCCGGAAAGAGTATCTAGGAACAGATAATATGCTTTTTACTGTCAAATGAACAAATTAAACTATTATTTGAATGGTTACACAGAGACTAGAATTTAATAGGAAAAGAAGAAGTCTTATTTAACATATATAAATATAGTAAAGCGTATTATCTATTTCAAACAAAATAATATATGAACTTATATAAAATATGTGATTTCTTATGTTTTTCAATGTGTTGAGGTGTAGAGGTTATGTTTCAAATTTGACATTTCTTGTACTAAATATATATTTTCAACAAAATATCGGTAGGAAACTTACGTTTTTAAAATCAGATGGCCATTAAAAAGATTTATGGTAATTAGTACATCGGATGTCTAAGATAATAGATAATAAAAATTCTATATTCAACTTGCTGTTGACAGAGATAAATCGAAAATGACAATCTAAGTTTTGACACAAGGCATAAACGACAGTTGACGTTTGTGTAGAGATGTTGGTTTCAAAATAACGAGAACGGGTCTGGGTCAAATAACGAATACGGATTTAACCGTTACAACATAAACCAATAAATGACATAAACTCCGACATACTATACAACACCTTCAACAAATGCCTAAACAACGGCATTTCCCAAGACACTTGGAAAGCAGCCGATATGGTTTGGCTCAGGGAAAAAGCCGAAAGACAACGACCGATATGCTTACTACCGACAACTACCCCACACAAACAATTCAAAGACAAAACAGTTACTTGCCAGAAACGACATGACAATATCATGACATAATCGTAAGACACACGGACTAACGCAACTACAGGACGGACGGCCCATGACATCATAAAGAGAGTACGCCACAAATACCTAAAACTAAATAGAAAAACAGTAGAACTTATAACAGGACACAGAAACATGAATGCATACCTCAACAAGTTCCACTTACAAGACACAGACGGCACTTGCGATATCGACGATGAAATCAAAGACACCAGACACATCACATATCAGGACCCCAACCTGACAGACGCACACCTTGCCAACCGGGTTAACGAATGAGCAAACGGACTTATACAGGATGACAAACCGGGGGACTAGCCACAAGAAGGCACACAAATTGTGGTTTGATCTCTTGGGTTTCATGGCCTCCAAAAACAAATTACTGCGTATTTTGGAAAAATTTAAAATATAATTATGTATAGTTTGGGCGATCTGTGTTAATTTTAGATGTTTTTTAAACACAAAGGCTTACATTTATTTTTTTACAGTTACAAATATTGTAACAAAGTAAGTTGAAACTCTGGTTCTATTTTTGGAATTCAATTTTAGTGGTATTTTAATTCAATAAAGAAAAAAAAAGGTGTGGGTCCCGCTAATTTTTAGGAGTGCGTAGTTGGGATGGGTACCTTAGCAGTGGATTTGCTAGATACCGGGTATTAATGCCGTATACCTAACGGTTGAGGGGCTGGCTTAAAGAGCCGTTTCATCCTTCCTGTATAATTCCAGAATACAGAAATATTATTAAGAATCGCTTGACGTTCTAATGATTTATATATATGCAAGAATAATGAACGTCCATTATAATGATAAAATTAAAAAACAGCCTACCTGTTAATTATTAGTTAGAGCTAAACTCTTTTTATTTATTCCTGTATTTCACCTAACTGCCTTCTCAACTTTTTTTGTACTATTTTTGTCCCGGCTTAAAAAATGCTCCCGTTTAGCATTTTTTTTTATCACTATTCACCTAAAAATATAATTTGGACCGTTGCTGACAAGCACGAAAAAGGAATTATATAAAGAGGTTTGGTATACGATAGGAGCAGTTAATATGGGACATTTTGTTTACTCTAGCGAAGGAAAATTATAAAATGTACTATTCATTCCCTTTATTTAAAATAAAAATGTTTCCTTTGTATGTTTAATACTTTATCTTGTTATTAAAGTTCATGTTTACTCTAGTAGTAATTTTGTTAATGGTTCTAAACAATAAGGACAGACTTTCTATCAGAATTACCGTGGGAACATAGTGAACATGTCTTAACTTTGTTGTTGGTGGTGTGCGTCAGATAGTTGTTCTATATCCTTATATTGATCAAAGAGAACCTCTTTTTGTTTTTCCTTCTAATTTTCCCTTTGTTTCCGATAAGTCATATTCTAATTACACCTCCTCTATTTAAGCTTCCAGTCTAGACGTTATAGAATCAAAAATGTCATTAATTTTTTTTAATCGTTCCCAACCCAACTATGTTTTAAGATATTTATTATTATTATTATTATGGGTTATAATTCCAAACCCCAAAAGAGAGCTTGTAAACTTTCATGAAAACATTACTTACATAGCATATTTTTGATTATTCCGTTCTGGAAATATTCTCTCCAGATATAATTAATTTTTACTTGTCAGTTGTCATTTGTGGTAACCTGTCAGACGTCGCTTATCAGTTGATGTTGTTGCTACAACTTTTGATAAATTCATTTTTAAATTAATATCTCTCTCTATAGATAAAACCAATGTTTAAAATGTTAGTCTTGACTTTTCAAGTTTTACCCAATGAGAGCACAAGTACGTATGAGAAACGTCGAAAACTGGTTATTAACCATACGAATAAAAAGTATAAAATTAGTTCAAATGCCGCGGAAAATAACGTTATCTGGAACCAAACGTTACAAAAAAAACATAATTTTATCCAATTTTTAACATTCTGTGGAAAATTACTAGAAAAATACGTTAGAAAATAGTATTTTATATACGTATAACTTTTCAACTAAAATTTCAACGTTGAATTTTTAACAAATAACGTTTTTTATACCATATAACGTTAAATTTACGTCGAAAAAACGAGTGTTTGTTCATTGGGCAGGTGAGCTAGATATTTTCTGTTAGGTACTTGTTAAACAAAAAAATAAATTAAAGCCTCTTCTTTACTATAAAAAAATGTAAATATAATTTAGGATAATTAATTTCTCAACTAGTTATTATTAAAATTTAATAACTTCACTATCTATTCGTTTATTAATGAAAACTAGTGTTGCACAGTGGTCGAAATATGACCATAACATAATTGAAATTTAAGAAAAACATATAGGCATTTGCATGTTTCTAAACAATTTTGTTATTCTTATACATCCATTTATTGTACTCGTAGCGAAGTGATTTGTCCTTTGAAAGATCATAATAGTCCATCCCAAAGAACGTCCTGACAATATAATACAATGAATAATGTTATAAAATCAATTGTCAACTTTTTTGTTAGAGAGGGTAGTAACGAAATTCAGATTGGTTCTTACATTTTGGTCCTCTATACAAATGTGGGTGGAGGGAGTAGAGGATGAAAGGAGCATCAAAGATCTGCAAAACACAAAGCTGTGCAACTTTCGGGTCCGATAACCTTTTTTTAATATGAAAAGTAGGCGTTAGGAAGTGAGGGGGTGAATTGTTTTTTGTCTTAGATTCCAATCCATCGTACCCGAAGTTTATTTTTCTGTAGTTTATCGCTTCTGTATATCGACCTCTACTGGGCTGGGGAGGGAAGTCAGGGGGCAGTCGGGTTAAAAATAATTTTATACGGAGCCTACGGCCCTGCTATTAGTTATTTTTTATCCCTTATCATTTAGGCGTTTAAGAGGAAAAAGGGGGAAGTATTTTTTCGTTATTCACGATTCTCTATCCGTCCATGTAATATTGTTTATGTTAGTTTAAAGTTAAAGGATGCTCCTGTTTGCTATAGGCTAATTTTAATAATAAATCATAATTCATAATTGTGGATCAATGGATTTTATAATTATATCGAAGGTTAGGAAAAAACTTAATATTTCCAAAATTTTTACTGAACTTTAAAGCTTGTCAATATTTAATTAACAAAATTTAATAAAAGAAAATCGGTTCTCAAACAGAAGAGTAACTGGTACTGAACTATTTTGTCTTCGCCTATTTATGTAAAGATGTGTATTTATTACAGTTATAAACTGGTTACACATTTAAATAATATATGTATTATTATGAAACAGAGGGTTAAAGAAACTTTTATTTTTTTATTTATAGTCCAAATTTACAAACATATTCACATCTGCCAAAATGAAGTACTTCTTTAACACCATCAAACTATGCAAAGATGAATTAAGAACCCATTTGGAAATTATAACAAAAGATGATAATACAGAAGTAGATATTTACGAAGTAATAGCTTGTTACCTTACCGATGTGATAGGTAAGTACCTCTTTATGAATGAAATAAGCTTATGATATTAAAGATTTCTTAATTTCTTTAGTAACTTTTTTAAATAAATGTATTTAATAATTATTATATTATGTTTCATTTTTAGTATCTGTAATTTTTGGCGTGGATGCCAATAGTTTTAAATCTCCAGACGCCATTTTCAGAAAACTAGGACGACAAATGTTTGAAACCTTTTCTCTACCATTCAAAATTGAGTTATTCTTAATAATTTGTTACCCCACATTAGCCAAACGTTTTAACTTAAGTATGGTCCAACCGGAGCTTAACAAATTCTTTAATAAATTTGTACCAGAAGCTGTGGAGCACAGAATCAAGAACAATGTACACAGAGCGGATTTCCTAGAGTTATTGATTGAAATGAAAAATTCAGGAATTGATCTAACACAGGATGAAATGGTTGCGCAAGTAGGTCATCATCTTTATTTATCATTTATAATTTATAGTCCCATGTTATTTCTACTATATTCATACGCCAGCTGCTTCAAAATACTACATATTTTTCTTTTTAGTTTATGTTTATTCTCTAGATAAATTTTATTTGTTTACCTACAGTCACCTTTTGTAATTGTTTTAAAATACACATGTGTTCACTGTTGAACTGAAAATCACTCATTGTTCACTCACCAACTACCAGATGGACCCTGTTAACAGAACAGCGGACAATATAGTCCACTGGATATTTTGGTCCTTTGCTATAATACAAGTTATAAATTTGATATAGTATGGAGAAGGATATTTATCATATTCACTTAGATTATATCTGGTACTAGCAAAAATTATAGTGGTAACAGCGGAGTTTTCTACAGGCAGATAAAAACACTGCTGGTAGTTAAAATAACACCAACAGTATTGCGACTATTCAGACAAACACTTCATGTTTGTAAATCTATCAAATAATTTCTTGAATTTAAACAATAGGGCCTAAACTTTTTTAACAACTTTTGTAAGGATTGATTTACTATAATTTATATTTATATATTAAATGAATTTTATGATTTTAGTCGTTCGCTTTCTTTGCGGCTGGCTTCGAAACATCAGCTAAAACGTTTATGCTGTTATTTTACGAACTAAGTATAAACAGTGAACTTCAGGAAAGAGCCAGAATCGAAATCAGTGAGGTTTTAGCAAAACATGGAGACTTAACATATGATGCCCTAAACGAAATGACATATCTCTCTCAATTAATAAACGGTAAGGGCGTTTTTTCAGTTTTATGGCTTTAGTAGTATCTACCTAAATGACCAGTCTCAGTGTGAGATTTAATTTATTTTTATTAATGTGTGTTCTGTGTAGACTTTGTCACTGTTTCGTGATTTAACAAAAATGTTTGATAATATAAAAACAATCACAATAATTATAATATTTTTATTTAATAGAAACCATGAGGAAATATCCCTTAGTGGCAACACTCAATAGGGTTTGTGTGAATGACTACAAATTCCCGGACACTAACGTGGTCATTGAAAAAGGAACTGGCATCATTATACCAGTTTTAGGATATCACCGTGATCCAAATCTATTCCCCGATCCTGATAAATTTGATCCTGATAGATTTAAAGACAAAAATGTTAAACACCATGGATATTTTCCATTTGGAGATGGACCTAGATTATGTATAGGTAAGTAATAATAATAATAGCACATAATTAAGGTTCTGAATATCGTACAGTTAGACCCATAAACCACATAAACCAATCAAAGCCTCTTTTAACTCCATCATGTTTCTTCCGCTAATTTTGCTCAATTACTGTACAGGATGAGTCCTAAATTGATACTTTTCTAACTGTGTATAGACTTCATTAAAATAAACTTCTTTTTAAATAACTTTTCCAAAAAACTCAAAAATAATAATTTGTAGGGCTTTCTTAAAAATTGTTTTTACAAGCAAGAGTTTAGAACAAGTAGACATTGTAAATAGTAATAAATGCAAATAAATTAGGTAGACTCAAAAATAAGATGTAGAATTAAAAATCTAAATCTGGGACTAAACTTATTTATGAAAAGTTATTGTAATTCAGATGATTGAGAATTTCTGTAGCTTGTTTATCTGATTAAGTGAATTTAAACATTTTAAATGTTATCGAAGAAGATCTAAAAACAAGTACGCGGGTGACTGCAGATCTGGTGAAAAAAAGTTTATATTATTGGCTGAAAATGGATTATATTTATTTTACGTTCAATGCATTTAAGTACTACATCCTAAAGATTACCTCGGCAAAATTCAGTTTTATGAATACTTCTTACAACGGCATAAAAATATGATTGACATTTTTTGCCGAAAGGTCTATATTTTATTTAACTTACACAGAACTGTAATTGTCTACCCACATACCTCTCTGATTTTTGTTAAAATCTAAAATCTTAATATTTACCTCTCAATTTTGTTTAACTTGGATTTTTATACTTATTATATTTGGCCTTTTTCCTCTAGTAGTAGTAGTAATAGTAGTAGTAGTAGTTTTTTTTACTGGTTGGGTGGGAATCCATTACGGACACCAGGCATATGGTTCTGCCCGTACCTGGTAGTGTGGAACTCCCGGCTGAAAGATGCAAAGCCAGTATACCCACTAAAACCACCCATCGCCTTGATTGGACATACTTGGAACTTCCGTCGGGCATTACTTCGAATAGGTCGGCGGTTTCAATTGGTGTTACGGTTTCTATCCTCTTTTTTTTATCTTTGAGCTTCCATTTACCTGTCCGTGTTTCCTGTTTACCCATGGTCTAATGTCAGGTACGAGTCTCTTGGTCCAGTTTGCTTTTCCAGCATCCTCTTCCCATCTTTGCTGCCATTGATCCAGTATTATGCGATTGTCGTATCCTTGGTCTAACATAGCTTTTTCTTCGGCAAGTAGATTGACTGGAGGGATTCTTGTTATGACTAGCAGTGCCTTTGTCGACGTGGTCCTGTATGCGCTGGCTATACTGATGGCAGTTATTATTAGCGTTATTATTAGCTTTGTTAGCTCGAACCATGGTTCTTCTTCGGATGTTGCATTCGTTTCTTTTCGTGGCTACCTCGTTAGATCACCAGTACACTGGCTTCCTGTTCGGTTTATAGTTTTTTTTTGGGAGGGTCTTATGACATGCTATGGTTATGTTCCATTAAATGTTCTACGCTTGTTATGTTCGTATTACGGAGTTTACGCCCGACTTCTTTAACTAACGCCCCCATATTTTCTTTTTTGCCATCCTTTGCATACATTAGGTTTTTCTTAGCTTCTTTAATCTCGTTAGTAATATTTCTATGTAAGCTGAGGTTTTCCTTCTCTAGTACTTTCCAGTTTTCCAGGGATCTGCCAAGTTTTTCGCTACTAGAAGTAATGTCTGTTATGGATCCGTATTCATTTCTCGCAAAAGTTGGAATATTTCCCTTATTGTGGATGGATAGGTTTTTCTCTGCCAACCATTCTGCTACAATTTCTCCTTTTTTATCCTCTCTGTCAGAGCTCCATAGAAATGCTTTGGCGTTGAAGTCTCCTCCTACGAGGATCTTTTTTCTGCCTCTTCATGTCCTTTCTCAAGTCGTTGAGGAAGTCCGTATTGATTTGCAGATTAACATTTGGGGAAATATAGCAGCTATATATAAGTATTTTCTGCAGCTCTACCCATACAAAACCGGGTCCGTTACCCGTATCTTCTCTTTTAATTTGCTTATTTACTATTTCAATGGCCGCGTCTAGGTTTCTTTCTATGTACCACTGTCCTTTTATGATTTTTATCCTATTTGGTTCCGCTAATATTATGATGTCTACGTTCTTATCCGTTTTATATAATAGGTCCATTGCCTCCCGTCCTCTGTCTACGTTGGCTTGTAGTATTTTCATATTAATAGGATGTTCTAATAGGGTGTTCTAAAAGCCGTTATTTAGTCTAGCCCTCTTCTCCTCATTATGTGTTTTGATTATATTTCTATATTCTGGACACCTCATTGTTTTGGCCATGTGTCCGTTTGTGTTACATAGGTAACAGTGATCTGCGTTAGTGTATTATCTTTTTTTTTGTGTCCGCACTCTCTACACTTGTGGCAGTTATTTCTGTCTTCTTCCTTATATTTGCACTGGTTTCCTCTGTGTCTTATCCTATGGCACTTACGGCATCTTTTCACGGGATCTAGCTCTCTTATTCTGCATCGGTTTCATTCTTCTCAAATACTTTTCTTTCTTGTTATGTAACCAGCCGCATCCGGCTGCATTATTATAAAAGCATATTTATACTCTTTATTATTAGCTTTCTTCACAAAGTTGTTCTCGTTATTCATTTCTCTTTTCAGCACCTGCCGTATATTTTCTTCCCTGACGTTCTCATCTATATCCAGAATCATAAAGGTTTTTTCTTTTGTTTTTACGTCTACCTGCGTGACGTTGCTGAGAGTTGTATTCAGTGCAGTCGTGAATGTCTTTCTATCTTTCTCATCCTTTCCTCTTATTTTTAATTACAGGTCCCCGCTGTTTGTTTTATTGATCCTTTCTATCGTGATCCCTTCGGTTTTTATGTCTTTTTTATTACTATGGTTTCCTCAATATTTTCCCTTTTACTTTTTACTAGCTCCCAATTAATTTCTTCGTCTCCATCGACTGTGTGGGCTCTTTTTTTACCCATAACAACTTTAAAGCTAACGTCTAGCTTTCTTTCTATATACTCAAGGGTATTTCGAGTAACTCCGTAGGCAATTTTTTGGTTTATAAGACACCATATATGGCTCATCGGCTTTCTATCGGCACTTTGCTTAATTTTAACCAGGTTTTCTCTTATTTTAATTCGATCTTGGACTGTGTTTAGATATTCTGTTAATGCGATATAGGTGATTAGCTCTACTGCACTTTCGGCCATTTCGTCACCGAAAATTCCACTTTTGGCGATTTCTCCGACCATATTACCAACATTTAATTTATTTTCTTCTACATATTTTCTGAGCTAGGGGTTTCTCTTTTTGAGCTTTCTTAGGAGTAGATTATTCTTAGTCTCTCCTGCTTTCATAATAAATAAAAGGTTATTGCTTCTTTGTGTATTTTACATGTTTTGAAAGCATCTTCTGGCCATTGCAGTTCCAGTTCCTCTTGAAGTCGATTATCATCCATCTCAAGGTCCGTAGCCTTTTCAATATTCATTACATACCTTTCTTTTTCCAGCTGTTGGATACTGAACGTTTGTGTGTCCATTTTACACCTGATTTTCTTAGGAGCGACGGTGATAATTTTGCTTGGGGGCGCGAGTAGTTCTTCTATTATTTTGTCTATAAAGCCAGTGTTCTTAGTCACTTTTTGTGTATATAACTCTAATTTGTGGATAGCATTTTTAATATTCTTTTTTGTATTTCGGATAATAGTTAACAGCGATGCTAATTGCTGCGTTTATTTTGTAGTTTTTTGATAATGTAATGACGTCAATTTTTTCTCAATCAGTTTATTTTCATTTTTCATTTTTAATAAATATTAAACGCGATTGAACTGTTGGTCCTGAGTTAATTTACAGATGCGCGAACGCTGATTGAGATATTGATGCACGGTGGGACTGGCGTTGGTGGGGTCTCTGATATGGAAAGGGAATCGACAGTTGCACCAGGCCCGAGATTCAATTAAAATTTTTAGTTCCGAATGATACTTGATATCCAGCAGTTTAGAATATTAGCCGCCTACTTAAACCAATTCACCGATAATTTCTTTTCTTTCTCGTGTTTATAAATCTGGTAAAAACCTTGTTTCGATTTTTACGTTTTATATTGAGACCGTATTTTATTTTAAAAACCGAATTATCTTGTAGAAATATTTTAATTCAGTGTTAAGTTAAAAGATTTAATTTGACTTCTTTAATAAATATTAGAATTTATTTCTTGGCAAATATAATACCGTTTTTTGGATAGTGTTGAGTTAAAAGATTTAAATTTGATTCCATTAATAAATATTAGAATTTATTTCTTGGCAAATATAATACCGTTTTTATAGATAGTGTTGAGTTAAAAGATTTAATTTGATTTCATTAATAAATATTAGAATTTATTTCTTGGCAAAAATAATACCGCTTCTTTAAAGGTAATAGAATTTGATTTAAATAATAAATTATAGGATTTAGTTCTTTAATATTGTAATACCGGGGATTAAGACTTTTGATCGTTAGTCTGTACTAAGAAATCATTTTTTTTTCTTTTTGGTAGGTTAAATCGGGAATTAAATTTGATTTTATTGATAAATACTTTTGTTTAGTAAGTGCCGCATTGTAACTAAGTTGGGAATATTTATAAACGGAGTTTTCGAGGAGACATTTTCCCTCTTAAAATAGTTTGTTTATTCTTTTACCGTATATTTAAATTATTTTAAATAGCATCCTGTCCTGTCTGAACGGGCTCGTGATGACGATCAGTTCGCTCTTGGAGTAGGTGCTATCCGAGTTATTTTTTTAGTTAATGTGTAAACCGCAAATTTAAGTAATCTTAAATAGTATCCTGTCCCTGTCTGAACGGTCTTGTGATGACGATCATTTCATTCTTGGAGTAGGTACTATCCGCATTAGTAATTTTCTTCCCTCTGATAAAAGTTTTGTTTTTCTTTTTTACCGTCAATTTAAATACCTTTAAATAGTATCCTGTCCCTGTCTGAACGGGCTCGTGATGATGAGTTCATTCTTGGATTAGGTGCTATCCGCGTTAGTTTTCTTATTCCGTTTGTATTCTTTTTTTTTTCGTGCAAATTACAACTTACAGAAATCTTAAATAGCTTTGTTACTCTATCTGAGCGGGCTCGTGGTGACGATCAGCTCATTCTGTGATAATAGGCTACCCCAGGTATAAATTTATTTTTATTTTCTTTCCGTATATTTACTATAAGTAGGTAATTCTTTCGCGTCCCTGTTTCCTCGCACTCTCTATGACCATTTAGCTAATTTTTTCTTCCCGAAACAGTAAAATACCTACATTTTAGTTTAATTCCCGATACAACAGTTTAACAATTAATTTTTGCTACGACCATTTTTAGAATTTTTCCTTACCGAAATGGGAAATTATGTTTTCGTTTAATTACCAACTAAATAGCCAAGTTAATAATTTTTTCTGTGACCGAAACATTAATTTATTTTAATTAAATTTTGACGTCTGATTGAGACTGGTCGGAATTCAATACCGTCCGTTTTGTTTCTTTATGTTTTGTTCAGGGTTATATTGACTATCACCACAACTGGGGTGGGCGTTGAAATATATAATTTTTTTTATATTGTAAGTAGTTCAAAACAATATATGTGTCAATGTTAACTTGCCGTATTACTGGTTACTAATTCCATACTTTATTTTCCCCTTGTATTTCAGCTAGTAATAAGTTCTGTACCAGCCCAAGCAACAATTAAAGTCCGTTACTTGTGGCCTACTATTACCTGTGTCTAAGTGACCTTTGACCCCTGGAATTTTTCATCTCCATGTGTAGCTACCCGAGTACTTTCGACGCTGTTTCGAAAGTTTGTGGAGTAAACCATAACCAAAATCTGACGCTCGAGAACCGCCCGTAACCAGCGTCATTCGTAAGAAACCGTTTTCTCTGTGGCGAGAAAACCTCTTACAATAAGATCCATAAGTTTGTTACGTTCGGTTTCCATTTTCCTTAAAAATATTTCAAAGTCAGTGTTTGTTTTTTCCGGTGTATCATCGCGTTTTCGTTTCGGTTCTCTACTAGCATTTTCCAGGCTTAGAGAGTTCGTCCTACGTAGTGGGGTTTTAAAGATGGAATCTTTTCACTTAAATGCGCCTGATTCATTATTTTGTGTTGTTCTCTCTATTGTTTTCCCGTCCGTGGTTACATTGTTTCCTCTATCCTGATTAGGATCGTAAAATACCTCAACATTAGTGTTTTCAGTCTTGGTTTCCATTTTGTCTCCAGTAGGGTTTACTAGCTCTTCAGTCTGTTTTTTCCCAGAGCATGATCGTCATCTTATTTACTTGTCAAGACATTAACATTAGTCTGCTCCCTCCCTGATACAACGAGTTTAATAAAAAATGTTTGATTTTTGTCCATGTACTCGTATGTCCCACGAGTAGCTAGGAAACTACTAGCCGCCTGAGCAGAGCCTCTCATGTTAAGATAAGGCCTGGCCAAAGCCTACCCCCACGTGCTCTTGCCATAACGGTGAAGGTCGTTTCAGACTCCTCTTCCACGGAGCCACGCACACTCTAGCCACGACTTTCCAGCTTGGTGTTGGGAGATTTTTTCCAGAGTTCACTTGTTGGTGCCAATTTTAGTCCGCGCCGACTATTTCATTTTATCGGTACCACCCATATATAAGAATATGAGAAGTAATCCCCAATTCGCCACCCGGGGACGCGCTAGATGGAAGATTGGCAATTACACAAAATAGTAATAGTAGAAGTAGTAGTGATCGTATGGTTAATTTATTGATAATTTTTATGTCCACATTGTGATAATGTTAATTAAAATAAACCAGAATTCGACACAAACTTTGGTGCTAATTAGTAAATGAAACCATACAAAGTTTATATTTAAATCCTTTTATTTTTTATACTTTAAAATGTAACGCAATAATTTGCAAAATATATTACAATAGGGACTTTTTACCGAAATCTCACTTGACTATCAAGATATATTTTAGTTAGCCTAATTATATCCTTGATATACTCAGGATTGTATTTTCTTAGGTATTTATTTTGGCGAGTATAAAGGTAATGACCAACACAGTAAATTAACAGCGCCAATTCATCAGGTGGTTAACTTACTGTGGTAATGTTCACATATAGTTTATAGCTCATACCTAGTAGAATGGGTGGCTAGTATAGGTGCCCCCTTGAGGTAACGAACAGTGACAATTACCAGATGATTAATTTACCAATAAATTTTACCATCTGGGTTTGCCTAGATTTATGTGCATAAACAACCCAAGACTATACGTCCCTAAATATTTCTAACATATTGATATTTATATTTTCTATTGAAATTACCCAACTTCACCCATCGAAAAATAGATGTCTAACTTAACTCTGTTTTGGGGTGAATGTCCGAAGACCATCTGATTTATTGGGATACATATTATTTTGAAGCACATGTCATTCTTTTATTCACGAAACTCTGGTGAAATCTCAAAGAAAGTTACATTATCCTTTTTGACTCATTATTGAAAATACAGATATTATGTACTAATATTATCTAGCTTTATGACGGCATCGATACGTCGAAGCGTCGAGATGCCTAGCATTTTGGCGGCGAGGAAGGTATTTATTACGTTACTGCGTTGGGGTGAATACAAGGTAGGAAATACTTAGCAGGTGCTACGAAGGGTGTCGTTACAAGTATTATGAAGGAAATATTTAGGTAGGTTATGGGGTGGCAAGGGTCGGGAGGTAGGGAGGTGGGACGTGACATCGTTCGGGAGATAGGTCGTCGGGACGGAGAATGCCGGGACGTAAATTTGTCGTTATTCCGGCGGAAAAAAAATTGGTGGAAAAAAGAAGGGTGGTAGGCATATTTCGTTTTTTGAGAAATTCACGGAATTTTGTGTCAATAGGTATCATGTTGAAATAGGTATTAATATTTTAATGATTATAACTTCGTAAAAATCGTTATTACTTTGTGAAAAGAATTTTGTTTTATGAAGGTGTGGAATTCTCATGGGATAACTTTTTTCTTATTTAATTATTTAAAAGATTTTTAGAAAAAATTAGGAATTTGATTTTAATAAGAATGCAACTTTTCTTTAAAAAAATAAAATTATTAAATTATGAAGGTACCTGGGTCAGGTAGGTCAAAGGACCATGTTAAATACATTTTGGAATAAATTAATATAAGTTTCCTAATTTTGATTTTTGTTGAAAACTTTATTTAAAAAAGTATTTTATTTTTAATGACTTCTTTATACAGTTAAAAATAGTATCGAGTTAGGATTTATCCCGGAGTGCCAGTTTACTTTAATTATTACTTTGTGTTATTAGTAATTACTATATTGCAAATTTTGTATTTCAGGAGCAAGATTGGGAATTTTGCAGGTCAAGTTGGGTTTGGTCGAAATAATTAAAAATTATGAAGTATCTTTGAGTCCAAAAGTCAAAGAACCATTAATGTTTGATCCATTTACATTTGTTACAAAGATGACGGAAACAGTCTTAGTAAAGTTAAAGAAAATCAATTGTACATAAATTAAAATACCATCATCAGTAATTTTAACCTACTTAATTAATCTTATTTTGGCATAATTCGTACATATATTATACATTATAATATATATTTACTCGGAACTTTTACTACATTTAAAAATTGTGTCTGAAAAAAATATATACTGTAATTTTTGCCTGACCCAAACATTTTTTTTTAGAACTTTTCATATTATTTTATTATCAATATTAAATAGTGATGTAGAAAAGTAGTTAAGTCAACTTAATTTTTTAATTAATTTAGTTATAAATCATGATAAGGCTCTAGACATCGTCAATGTGATCACTAAAATTGCAAAGGAATTTGAGATTTTATTTCATTTAATACAGTATTTCGATTTAAATAAAGACACATTTTTCTGTTCCTAAGTATTTATTTTTTATTCGAATTTATATTTATTTTGTTTATTCACACTATATTATTTGGTCACCTTTATTTTAAAAATTTAAAAGACATAGGGAGTAGCCAGGAGAAAAAATGAGTATACATGAGCAAAAATAAGCGACCGGTTTCGAAGTGTCATCACTTCATCTTCAGGCTCGCCTCAACTCACACATGGCTACCCCCTTGTCAATAATACGGAGAATCTTGTTTGAATTAAAACCGCTTTTGGAAATTATGAACTTTATTTTTCTATATCTTGGCAAAAAGCCCAAAACGTCAGTATTCTATTATTTTCAACAAATCCAAAATAAGCCATAGACGTCCTTAATATTGCCAATAATATAAAATAAAAAAAAAATTAGATAAATTTTCAAGAAGGGGAAAGGATCACATGACAATCAACATTGCTGTGACACGGACTTTAGGATATTCTCTTCTTCTATTTTATTTTAAACCGGACATAATTAAGTAACTGGAATTTTTTATGGCATATACTTTTTTTATTTTGAAACAGTTTTTGAATATTCTTTATAAAAGAAACAGTTTGGTTTTTGGTGGTTTCTTAAATAAATCTTAAAATTTTGAAAGAGACGTTGAAAATTTAACATAAACCGTATCTGGGATATGGATTTTCATTTAATTTTATTAAAAAAAACATGCATAATCACAAAATCTAAAGTAATAAAATTTTACTGTCACAATAATTAATGATTAAAATAAAACAAATATTTAAATAAACTGATTCTAAATCGTAAATTGATAATATTGCCAAATTGTCAAACCAAAATGTCAAAATAGCGTCATTTGTTTCTGGAATATGGATTAAATGTAACAGTTTAATTGCATTTAATTTTAGTTCCAAATGAATTTGAAAACTATATAAGATGTAGACCTAAGATTTGGTAGATATTTTTTAAATAAATCAGAGCAGTTGCTGAAACTAATCTCAATAATTCAACTTTAAAACAATAAAAATAAAATAGTCTATTAAAAACCAATTACGTTTAAAACAATTCTCAAATCAATGTAATAACGAAGAAAATTGGAAAATAAAGTACATGCCGAAATTTCACATAATATAGGCGCTAATACTACTGTCTACCTTTATCGATAATTTTAGATCACGCATACATTGATAGATCAAAGAACAAGCCAGTCAACTTGTTTTTACCACGGATTTCAAACATTCTACTTTGAATATAGTTTTGATCATTTAAAAACAAACGGAAGATGGAATCGGTACCTATTTTAGAGTGTCTGTAATTAAGATAATGTCAACATTGACAATTTACTTTGTACTCTGTATGTATTTGTAACTACCCCGTATATTATATTTTCTTGTTTTATTTCATTTTTTTTTTGTTAGAGTATTGGTACTAGTCATTACTGACTAACCTACAATTTTAATCTAAAAATCTTACAAAATAATTACCTATCTAAGAAGTCCCCATTAAGCTGTCTTAATTGTTTCTATAGGAAAGCATCACAAGTTGGCGTGACGATTTGTTACACTGTTTTACACTAGCACTAACATTAACGTTCACTACACTAGCTCAAATAGCTTCTTCCTTTTGAGCCTTCTGTTGAGTGTAGAGTTGTCCAGTAATTGCAACGCTTCTTCGTTGACGTGGGAGTGGAGTTGGCCCTCATGTTTCGCAGCAAACCTCTTTATTTCTTTTTCGATTGTTGGCATCTTCAGGTCTCTATGAAGATAATCGTTTTGGTAGAACCAAGGTGCATTAATAATGCATCTTAGGACTTTATTTTGGAAAACTTGTATCATGTTGATATTACTCTTGATGGCACATCCCCATAGCTGTATGCCATAAATCCAGATTGGTTTTAGGATTTGTTTATAAATCAGCAGTTTGTTGTGCACTGACCATTTGGATTTTCTTCCTAGGAGACACTACATTTTTTTGAATTTAAGTTCAAGTTCTTTACGCTTTTTTTTATGTGCTCTTTCCATTTAAGTCTTACATCAAGGTTCATCCCTAGGTATTTGGCCGAATCGTGATGCGGAATAACGTCATTATTTATTCTTATTTGTTTTTGTTCATTTGGTCGAAGAGTAAAATCGACATGCACTGATTTAGTTTGGTTTATTTTTATATTCCACTTTTTTGTCCATCGATTGATTTTATTGCAGGTTTCCTGAAGTTTTTCTAAGGTCTATGTATTAGTTCCGCCAACTGCCAATATTGCAGTGTCATCCACAAATGTTGCTATTTTAACAGATTGTTGTTGAGGGATATCGCTGGTGTATAATAAGTAAAGAACTGGTCCTAGCACACTGCCTTGTGGGACACCTGTTTTAATTTCTTTCATTTCGGAGTATGCCTCGTCTTGCTTTACTCTAAACATTCTTCCCGGTAAATATGGTTGTAGAATGTCGACATATTGTCTAGGGAGCATTTTTTCAAGTTTTTGTATTAGGCCAGCGTGCCAAACCTTGTCAAATGCTTGGGCTACGTCAAGAAATATAGATGAGCATATATATTTTTCTTCGTAAGCTTTTTCAATGATATCGGCTATCCTGTGTACTTGATCTATTCTCGAGTGTTTGTTTCTAAAACCAAATTGGTGCGAAGGGATCAAATTTTTATTTTCAATTATTGGTTTTAGTCCTTTTAGTAGTATTTTTTTAAATAACTTAGATATTATCGATAACAATGATATAGGTTTTCCTGGCTTAGGAATTAGGATAACTTCAGCCATTTTCCACGCATTTGGTATATATTTAAGGCGAAATGCTGCATTTATGAGGTACGTCACTTTAACAATAGCCTTCCGTGGTAGTTTCTTTAATATTTCTCCAGTAACAAGGTCATATCCTGGGGCTTTCTGTGAGTTGATGTTTGTCTGAATTCCTTTTGTAACTTCATTGGGAGTAACTAGCTTATTTTCATCTAATTGGAACGTCTTTTGTAGGTGGTCAGCGAAAATATCAGCTTTTTGTTGATTGTCTCTTGCCTATTTGTTATCTGCTATTCTGATAGGAGGACAGTGTTTGCACGAAATTTTCATCTTTTTAGTTGCCTTCCAGAGTAAATAATCAGTTTCTTTATAATCTGTTAGCCTTACTAGGTATCTGTTGAAGGATTCTTCCTTGTGATTTAGGATTTTTCTTTTCAGTCTTTGGATAGCCCTATTTAATATATTTATATCTTCTGGTGATCTTGTTTTAGTTCTTTATCTAACTGATTTGTCGTTTTTAGTGTTATGTTCAGTTGAATAGTATTTGTTAAGTCCTCTTGATAACCTTCCCAATTAGTTTTTCGATTTGCTAGATTCGGTTTGTCTTCTCTTTGAATAACATTATCACTTAGAGTAAGGATTACTGCAGAATGGTCTGAATCCATATCAAAGTTTTCTTATACTAGTGTATAGTTTGGTGAAATTTTCTTTAGAATAAAGATATCCAAAAGGTCTGGAATCTTATTTGGGTCGGTGGGCGAATAGGTGGGTTTTTCAGACGATGTACAACCAAGTTCTGATGCATCTCGGTGCAATTCTTGACTGTGGTTAATCTTAAACCCCAGTTTGTTTGTTTAGAGTTGTAATCTTCACCGATTATAAATTTGTTACCTAGTTTTTTGAGTACATTGAGATAATTTTCTTTTTTATTTTTGTGTCTTGGTGGGCAATAGATTACAGCTATTGTAATTTTGCCCCCTTAATATTAATGGTTACCTGATTTTCTGGTTCTTGGATGCCTGGTTCCTCATAGTGGGAAATGTTATTTTTAATAATTAGCGCACTTCCTCCTCTCGCTGCATTTGATGAATGGATAGTGTGATAGAAGTTATATCCTCTGAATTTAATGTATGACTCTGTTGTAAGGTCGGTCTCAGAAATTAGAAATATATCTATTTTTAGTACGTCCAAGAAAACTTGGATATCAGTTTGTTTTTGGAGAATACCATTGGCATTCCAAGTAGCTATTCTAATATCTCTTTTGTCCATTGGTGGTTTTGTTATATGTTTGGGGTTTATTTAATTCTTCTAGCTTCTAGATCCTGTCAGAGAGTGAATTTATTCTGGTTATTAAGGATAATAATAATTCATTAGTAGTACTTTCTACTAAGCTGGTTGACTGTGAAGTATGCTGCGCAATTTGTGGCGTGGGATTTATGGCTGGTTATGACCTTTGAATTGGTTGCTTCTGTGAGTTTGTTACCTGATAATATGTTATTTTATTTCTGACAGTTGGAAAAGCGTTTATAGATCTCTTCTGCCTCGTCATTATTTTAGGTTTAGTGGTATTACCCTACCTTATCTGAAAGGTTTTAGCTACCTAACATCATCTGTAGTTAGCAGGATGTTCCATTGGGCAGTTTAAATACTTCGGTTGATGTTCTGGACTTTTTACACAATCCTTCGTCTGATGTTTTCCTACGCACTTTACGCATCTTGATTTTATTTTACAAAAGTTGTGCATATTTTCAAATACCTGGCAGTTTTTGCATTGCCGAACTAGTTTTGACTTTCTTATGGTTTCTATTCTAACTTTTAGATTAAGTATTGCTTTGATTTCGTAGATTTTCTTAATATCTTCAATATTTTCGAATGATAGCATGAATGGGGGAAATGGTTTTTTATTTAGTTTACGAGTCTTATCCTCGGTTAATTCTATTTTCTTCTTTAATTTATTGACAGCTTCTTTACATTTTAATCATTGACTTTGCAAGTCCTTAACAATATCTTCTGGTTTAGATGTAGATGGTAGACCTCTAACCATTACTTTAATGTCTCTGTCCTGTTAAATTTCATAGGAATGCCAATTTATTTCTTTGAAACTTAAGGTTGAAATGACATTTTTGAAGTCTTCTTCTTGTTTAGTATTAATTTTAAACTGGTTATTGCTTAGATCTGTGGCTTCAAAGGAAATATTATTTTCTGCCAGTGTATGGCGCAATTATTCATACTTATTGATGTTGCTTGCTATTATCGGGGGAAATTTCACTGTTTTTTTCGACTATTTCTTTCTCTTGTTGTCGATTTTTGCTACCTCCAGGTTGGCCAGGAGAGGTTTCAGGAGAGAAGTTGGCTTTTCGTTTTTTTCTTCTATTGTTTCTGCTTTCCGCTGTTATCCATTCTACTTCTTTGTTAACTTAATCGCCGATTTCTTTTGCCAGTTCTTCTTTATTAGTTTCATAATTCGTTGGAATTTTAGATTTTTCTTTGTTTAAAATATTAAT